CTCATCATCATACACTGCTAGATCTAGAAAGACTTGGGAGCACAGAATTTAAGAATGAAAGTATCTTGGTAGCTTTTGCCTTAATCCTTGTAGACTGGAGTTATCCAGGACTTATCTCTAGCCCAGATAATCCAGGACTGATTTTCAGGTTCAAGATTATCATTAGACACTTGAGATTCAGATCCCTAACTCTCAAGGATATCCTGTGTTCATCTCAAAGCACTCCTCTGAACTCCAAATATTTTTTGGATCACTCATTTGTCATTTTTATACTACCTTATATATTGTTACTTTTTTCACATCCGTGCTCTGTCTCTCCAACTAGGCTGTAAGGCCTTTGAGGCGGAGATCTTACCCTAAATGTCTTTAGATCCATAGTACATAGCTCAGTACCCTGCACACAGGATCATAAGAACAGAGGTTAGGGATGGAGGGAGGACCATCTTGTCCAACCTCCTCATTTTCCAGAAATGAAGGGCTCCCTGGGGAACTAAGGGATCTATATCAGGTCATATAAGTAGTAAACATCCTAAGTGCTTATTAGGATCCATTAATCCTAAATGGAGATATGAACCTATGTGACTCTATAGAACCTGGGATCTCTTCAGAGCACCACACTGCCACCTTATAGGAGGGGCTCAATAAATGTTGGTTGATTATGGTGATGATAAGATAGATGGAGGTTGTTTGTGCTGACACAAGATGGAGGGTTGGATTGGAGATATTTATCACATTGCAGTCAATGAAACATCAGAAAGCATGATCACAAATAACTACAACTGTTTGTACTCTAGAATGAGAGATAGGAGAAAGAAGAAATAGGAAGGGGCAAAGAGCTGAATGAGGCTGAAGTTTGGGGTACAACCTTGCCACATGGTAGGTTCAGTGAATGTTTGCAGATCTGATATTGTGGAGAAGCAAACAGGAGAAGAGGGAGTGAATTGGCACGCAGAGATGAAAAAATGCTACCATTTAATCTGAGTAATACAGTGCAAAGGTCTTGGGCTTGGGTTCAACTTTCCTGGGAGGGCCTTTATATTAGTGCTAAGCAGAAGAGCTTCATTTTGTTTGCATTCATTGTGGCTGTGAGCTTGAATGGGAAATTCTGTTGAAGGTAATTTCTTTTTCTGATTCTTTTCTAAGACTCGTTATTGTTGTAAGTCCTTTAAATGGCTTCACCAACATTTCCTTAAAAGCAATAGCTGTAGGTGAAGTCATAGTTTCCTGACTAAAATGAGCCTTCTTGAACCAAAAGGTCATGAAGCAGGAGGAGGTTTTCCCAGTTATGTTCAAACAAGTCCCACCATCCCCACAATCTTAAAGTTCTGTAATAAAGGAAATGTTGAAAGCTTTACTATAATTATGCTAGCTATCTTGTTATTTGGCAGTAAAAATAATGCAGTAAACAGCTGTGTTTCCAGAATGTAGGGCTGCCCTTAGATTTTCTTTTTTCCCTGTATGGAGTCCTAAAAAAAAAATAGTCAAATCAAAAATTGCTCTCTTTTTCCTGGCTTTCTCTGCAGTTTCCTAATACCTAAAATCTTTCCTAAGGATCAGTGAGTTTTAAGTGTGAGTATCCCAATCAATGAGTTGATCCACAAATTTGGGGCAGAAAAGATAATGGTGGGTTAGGAATAAGAGAACCAAGGTCCAAATATGACCTGACACTTAATCTGTGCTTAGGCAACTCGCTTAAAATTTCTGGGCCTGTTTTTTTCACTTGTAAAATGAATTAGACTTAATGGTGTCTGAAGACCCTCCCAGCTCTAAATCCGTGATCTTGTAATCAATCCCAAGTCTATGTTGCTGAAAACAAATGAGGTTGTTTTCACCCTTTTGTCTCCTGGCTAGAAAAGGCATTGTGGGAAAGGAGGTAACAAGGTGCAGTGGCTAGAACCCTAGTTTTGGAATCCAGATCCACTAATTACTGCCTATGAGACACTCGTGAAGCCATTTCATCCTTTGAGGTCTCAGTTTTCTTACGTAATAAATGAAAGGGTTGACTAGGTGAGCTTTGACATCTGTCTTGCTCCAAATTTATGATCTTAGGATCTATGTAAATATGTCCTAGCGTGAAGGAATTTGGCATTCATTCATTCAATAAACATTTATTAAGCATCTGCTATGTGCCAGACTATGTGCTGGGCTCTGGGGACACAAAAAAAAGGCAAAAGACAGTCCCTGCCCTCAAGGAGCTTACAATCTAACGGAGGAGACAACACGAAAACAAATCTATACAAAGAAGCTATATACGGGATAAATAGGAAATAATTATCAGAGGGGAAGTACTAGAATTAAGAGGGCTTAGGGAAGGCTTACTGTAAAAAGTAGGATTTTAGTTGGGACTTAAATCCAGGAGGTCAATAAGTATGGAACTTACCTTGACTTTCGGAGGGAAAAACAAAATGACCAGTTAGTAAATCTGGACAGATGAAGTAAAATTTGGAGATGCTATCAAATTAGTTACAGGAAAAGAATGCAGGGGAAGTAGCCAGACTATATATCCTGTGTGGTAATGTTACCCAAAGGGAACATCAGGGAGAGAACAAAAGTGGTGAATACTAAGGAGAAAGCCATCTCTCCATGTCCTCCAGATTCCAGCTGGATTGCATGAGGAGGAGATGCACATTCCTACCATTCTGTCTTCCTCCAGGCTGCCTGCCCCAACTCAGGCAGTCTGGAATGCACTTCCTCCTCAGCCCTGCCCCCTCAGAGACCTGATCTTCCTTAAGGTCCAGCTCAAGGTCCAGTGGCAAAACGGCCAGGAACCTTCCCACCATCCTCACCATTCCTCTGACCATTTTGAGGGTTCTTTCCCTTCATTTACGCAGCACATCCTCCAGCAAAATGTAAGCTTCTCGATCCCAGGGGCTGGCTGGTACGGTGGAAAGAATCTGGATGCAAATTCTGCCTCCAACCCTGGCCACTTGTGTTGCCCTGAGCGAGCCACCGAGCCTCTCTAGGCCACAGGTTCCTCTCCTGTAAAATGAGGGGGCTGGACCAGATGGCCCTGGACCTTCCTTCTAGATTCAAGACTTCCTTTTTTGTCTTTGTATTCCCAGGACCTCTGTGGTCAGTTCCCTGAAATTAAACATAAATTGCACACCTACTAACACACACCTACTAAACAGAGTTGGTGTTTAGTAGGTCTGTATTAAACTGAAATAGGTTTGTGGGCTCTACAGAGACTGAAATTTGACCCATTCTCTAAGCCTCAGCAAATGTGTCTAATTTTGGTAAATCTGACTGGGTGTTCAGAATTCCTCAAGGTAAAGATGGTGAGTATTATGAACAAGCCCTGGGCCGGGAGTGGTGTACCTCAGAGTCAGACCTTGCAGAACTGCTGATTGCCCTAAAGGGAAATGCAAGCAGAGCATCTCTTGGGTCTGGTTAAATTGCTTGCTACCAAGGTCCCCTTTTTACTTCTCATTTCCAGAATACTTTGTCATGGTATGAATAAATGCCAGTATCTTTCCTGTGTGCAAACCAGTTTAGTAGATCTAAATATCAATTTGGCATTTCTCCTGACATAGAACTCAATCTCATTCATTCGAAAACCATTAGCTGTCATGTCCCACCCTTAGGACAGGGGCCTTCAGGGCTTATAGTTGACTAAGATCACCTGTTTCATTCTCTGAGAAGTAGGGGTTTAGACTAGATTATCTCAAATTCCCTTCAAAACAATTTAGCAGGCTTTCTTTGTGCCTGACGTTGGTCCAAGCACTGGAGACCAGAGACAGAAATGAAACATTCCCTGCCTGCTCACATTCCGGTGGGAAGAAAACATGTCCCCAGTTAACTGGGAGAATCAGGAAAGGCCCTTGCAGGAGGGGCACCTTGTGGGACGATGAGCCTGGAACAGACATAGACGTTCCGAGGGGCAGAGGTGAAGAGGTAAAGGATTTCTGGCCTATCGGAGGGGGGCTTGCTAAGGGACTGGGGCAGGAGGTGGAATATTGTGTACGGGAAACAAGAAGTCACGCAGTTTGGCTGGAGTGGAGCCAGGGGAAGTGTTGAGTAATGCTGAGGTTGAATGAAAGGTTGGGGTCGGACTGTGAAGGGCAGCTGTTGATGGTTGATATTACGGTCAGAGGTGTGCATGGCCGTTCTTTCAGAGGATGGCTGTGTGCAGGAGGGCTTGGATGGCAAGGACTAGAGGCAGAGACTGCAGTAAAGCCCAAGTGCTCGAGAGGGGGAAGTCCCGGGAGGCAGACAGCCGGGCGCGGAACTGATGGCCACGCGGAGGGAGCAGTCCGGGAAGTTCAGAAGGGCGTGCTTTAGGGGCGGAAAGATAAGGAGTTCGATTTGGGACTTAGGATGGTAGATCTGGAGCCGGAAGGACCTTCCTGGCCGTCCAATCAGCCCCTTCACTTTACAAATGAGGAAACTGAGGCACAAACGGGGGGAGGGGCATTTGTCCAGGTTACACAGGTTGGAAGTACAGGTGGGATTGGAGCCAGGTCTTCCTGCTTAATGCCCCCCCCCACCCCCGTGGAGGAGCCGGAGCGGCCCACGGGAGAGGGAAATCCCTACGGACACCTCGAGTAGGCGGCTGGTGCCGCGGACCCAGAACTATTCATGCCCGGGGGCGGATGAGGCATCCCGAGAGCTAGGGCAGTGAGAGGAGGGAGGGGCCTGGACTGAGCCTCTGGTGACGTCAGAGCCCCGCTCCCCGCTCCCATCCCTGGACTCAGCCGGCGAGCAGCAGAGGGCGTGGGCGAGGGGCGGATCACGTGGCCTCTTCAAGCCAATAGGAAGGCGGGCTGCGGGCCCGCCCCTCGGGCTTGGGCTCCGGGCCTGGCGGTGACTGACGCCCAGGAGCCGCGGAGCCCGCCCTTCCCTCGCACCTGCCGCCCCGGGCCCCGCCCCCTCAGGGGCTGCCCGCCGAGTTTGAGGTGGAGCGCGGGGGCAGAAGGGGGAGGGGACCGGAGAGGGCTCGCCCCGGCCAGGAGCGCCCCGCCCCCGGCCCGGCCTCGGCCCTGACGCCGGCCTCGCCGGGCGTCCGCCGTCCGGCTCTAGTCTCGTGCAGGGCGGCGCCATGGAGCAGCTGGTGTTGCGGGCCCGGGCGGCCTTCCAGACGGGCCGCTCGAGGCCTCTGTCGTTCCGCCTGCAGCAGCTGCGGGCCTTGCAGAGGATGGTGCAGGAGTGCCAGAAGGAGATCCTGGGGGCGCTGGCCCAGGACCTGCACAAGGTGCGCGGGGGGAGGGGCGGGGGGCGCTAGGTAATCCTTTCCCTCGCCCCGCCCCCCGCCGCCGGCTCTGCGGTGCACTGATTTCCGGCTCGGCTCCCCCCCCCCCCCCCCCCCCCCCCAAGTTCAGAACCTTCTGGGACCGTCAGTCGCTGACTTCATCTCGGGGAAGGGAGGAGGGGAGGGAGGAAATCTGCCCTGCGGTAAAATGGGATTGGGGGGGGCCCAATGACAAAGCCGAGACACTCCCCCCCACCCCCACCCCTGCGGAGGGCTGCCCTTCCATCACGTCTCCCTTAGGAGTCCATGCTAGGGAGAGTTGTCCTGTGGCGTACTGGAGAGAGAGCTGGGCCAGGAAGACCTGGGTTCGAGTCTCTTCTCTCTCACCTCCTGGCCAGGTGACCCAGAGCAAGTAGCAGCTCTAGAAGACCAAAGCTGTAGAGCGAATTCCCCAGTCACTTCTTATCCCTATTGAGGATTTCCTAAGAGGGGTCGAGGTCCACAAAGAACCTGCCTTGGACCCAATTACCCTTTAGTAGATGGAGAGAAAAAAGATGTATGAAAAAAGTTATCTAGCGGATTATGGGCAAGTGAAGACACAGCACCCAGGTGCATTGTGAAAGTTCAAAGGGCACTCAGCTCCAAATTTCAGAAGGCCTTTTGTCCCAGTTAACCTTTTGGCCAGTTTATGTAAGTGGTTGGTGTGAGTAGGAGAGAGTTTAGAGAGATTTCAAGGTTAGATGAATTATATGAGCTGGAATGGAATTTAGCAGGGATTTATGAAACAATAAGAAAGTGAGGTAACTCCATCAATCAATAGGGTGGGATTAATTGTCAAGCAGAGCGTATTTCCTGTCTGAGACTTAAAGCTGCCCTTATATCCACTCTGCCACTTTAAGATTGACTATGATTCTATATTGTGATAGAGTGAATTCAACGCATATACTCAAGAAGTTGTAAATGTTCTTGGGGAACTTGACTTTGTACTGGAGAAACTCCCTCAGTGGGTTGCCCCAGAGCCAGCTAAGAAGAATCTCTTGACATTGATGGATGAGGCCTATATCCACGCAGAGCCTCTTGGAGTGGTCTTGATTATTGGGGCTTGGAACTACCCGTTTGTCCTAAATATTCAGCCATTAATAGGAGCCATCGCAGCAGGTATGGTGTCTAATTTACCTTTAATACTTATTCTCTCAAATTAATTTCTTTTAATACTTATTCTCTCAAATTAATTTGCAGATTGAAGATGTAAGTCATTGAATCATTTTCAATGAAGTCGGTTGAATCATTTCTTTCCAGTGATGGTCATTCATGTTTGCCAGCCACTTAGTCTTTGCTTTTCATAAACATTATTTAATCATGTTAGACACTTTAATTAGACATAGTGACTTTCTTAGAAAGCGCTTGGGGAATCCATGCACTGATTCACACCAGTGAGATTTATAAAGGTCTCAAAGGTCAATCCACAGATTAGGACCCAGCAGAACAGAACTGTAGCCAGCTGGCTAGAATCTGAGGCCTGGAGCAAGTCAGTTCTGTTCCTTTGGTATACTAGTTATTGCATTAGACATTGTACCATGCTCTCAAAGTGCTGATGGATCAATGCCGAGAACTTTATGCTTCATTTACATGGTATCTTAACAAACAATCTACGCATTTAGTGTCGGCTAAACCTATTTGTCTGTTTGGTGTTGCTTGAAAATTCCGGGGCAATACAGGAAAATAGAAGGGAAAGGGGATAAGAAAAGGGGGGAGATGGAAGGGAGGGCAGATTGGGGGAAGGGAGTTTTCAGAATGCAGCTGTCCTGGGGTGGGGGGAGGGTCCAGATGAAATTTGGAACTCAAAATGTAGTGGAAGTGAATATTGAAAACTAAACATAAATAAATTAATAAAAAGAAAGATTTAAAAAAAAGAAAATTCCAGGGTAAGGGGGAAAGTTCAAGATCATGGAGGATAGCTTCAGAAAAGGAGATTAGGCAAAAGATGTTCACTAACATCCCTTCTGTCTCTGACAGGCTGAATGTACAAAGAGGGTTAATTGGGAATTTATTAGAATATACGCGCAGTGAGTGTTAAAAAAATGATGAAAGGGCAGCTAGATGGTGCAGTGGATAGAGCACCAGCACTGAAGTCAGAAGGACCAGAGTTCAAATTTGGCCTCAGACCAAACACTTGACACTTACTAGCTGTGTGACCCTGGGCAAGTCACTTAACCCCAATTGCCTAAAAAAAAATTTTTTTTAATTTTAAAAAAATTATGAAATATGAGTTCATATCTGGCCTCAGACCAGACACTTGACACTTACTAGCTGTGTGACCCTGGGCAAGTCAATTACCTTTAAAAAAATTTTTTTTGTAAATTAAAAAAAAATGATGAAAAGGCTCGAAGAGCAGAAACATGTTACCTGTCTCGAAAGTGCTCATTACTGCACCTGAGACCTCTCTGCAGCCATTTTAGAAATGCTATCTATACAGTTAGATTAAGCAGACAGAAAAGCTGAACTAGGATTAGTGAACCCACAGCTGACGAAAAGCATAGAAAGCTGGTTATTCTGAAGAGAGTAGTCAGCTTGTGTCCTGGAGAATTAGAGCTTTTCCTGGAGAGGTGCTGGGGGAGAAGGAACTAGAACATTTCCTTCTCATATGCTTCCTCTCCACTCCTCCCACCTCTGGAACCCCTAACCCAGTCAATAGCTACCCAGCAGTCCAAGGTTGGGAGGGGTCAAGAAAGTAGAAGGGTGAAAGTCATCAAAGCTTGCTTAAGAATTTGTACCATTTCAGAAAGTGAGTTAGTGAATGGAGTAAGTTACCAAAAAGAGGGTTGGAGTATCTGTGCCTCCCAGTTCAACATTGCACTGATAGCTGTTGAAGTTACTCAAGTATTAGATATGATTCATCCACGCTTTGTGTTGTCCAGGAAATGCTGTCATAGTCAAACCATCAGAATTAAGTGAAAAGACAGCCACGCTCTTGGCCAAGATGCTCCCTCAGTATTTAGACAAGGTAAGTATTTCTTCCTTGTTTCTGTTTTTAACACAGATTTATTCACGTTTATTTTCAGATTTTATTAATGCTTTAAGAAAATTATTATCATCTCATCAAAGCCCTCCCTCTCTTGCCTATTTGACAAATAAGTAGAGTTAAGCAAAATTAATCAGTGTATTGTTAGGCCTGGCCAGTCTCTTCCTCATTCAGTGCCTGAGGTGGGATACTCACTTCCTTTCAAGCCTGATGAGGTTGGGATCTAGACCCCAGAAAGGAAAAACCCTGGACTTTCCCACATGGCCAACTCTCTGGTGTTCCCCTGAGGCTAGAATCCCATCAACTGGCCTTTCATTGTGGACCTCCTTATGGACCCAGGCCACTTCTCCATTCTCCCTTATTACCTCATAGACTACTTGGCCACTCCTAGATCCCTCCCATAGTCTTTCTGTATATTGAGGTCCATCTTGTCTCCATTAAGATGTTTAGATTCTTATAATCTAGCCACAGCTCTGATTCTTAAAATCTAGCCAATAGCTTACTAATGTTCAGATTCCTGAAGAGTCTGCCCCATATGACAGATGTTCTAATAAACCTTGTCTTTGACTGAAAGAAAGCTTGGGTTGAATTCTTTCGGGCAGGGCTTGTGTGTTGTAATTTTGGGGTCCCAGCACCCCTGAACCCCTAAACCGCATCAAGCCCACTGAAATCACGATTATTCCCTGGGTCTGGTGATCAACCATCAGTGTTCTGGAAATCTTTTGTGTTTCTTTTAATGCTGTTGTGGTCTCCATGTAAGTTGTTCTGGTTCTGTGTACTTTCCTCTGTATCACATGAGCACATATTTACTCATTTGATTTGTATATAGTGCCAGAAATCAATTCAAAACGCCCTTAAGCCTCAGCATACATTTAAACAGAGAAACTCGAGAACTGGACAAGACCCAGGGCCGCAGAGGGGCACAGCTTCCTGGCTGAGCAGTCTGATCGTTGACACCTTTTCTTTCTATAAGGCAGCTTGATGTTCATGATTTGAGAAGGCTATTGCAACATTTTGTCATTATTCCTTTAGAATGGGTTGTACTATCAACAGCAAACCCCTTTTAAGCACCCAAAGGAATAATCCCTGTCCTTAAGGAGTTATCATTCTAGTAAGAGAGATAGCATGGACATATAGAGAGAGTATATACAAGCTGAATACAAAGTAACCTTAAGAGGTAGGGCACTACCCACTGCAGGTATCAGGAAAGACTTCAGGTGGTACAGGAGTGCCAAACTGAATTTTTAAAACATATTTTGATAACTCCTTTTCAATAGAATTGGTTCCCTTTGCAGTCTCGTATATTTTATGATAAGCTTTTTCCAAGTATTTTTCTGAAAAGGGTTCTATAGCTTTCACTAAACTGCCAAAGGTGTCCCTGACTCACAAAAATGTTAAGAATCCCCAATGTAGAAAGTGGTACAGATGAGGAAATTGAAGCAGACAGGGTGAAGTGATTTGCCCAGGGTCACATAGGTAGTAAGTGTCTGAGGCCAGATTTCCTCTTGCCTTTGTTACTTCCTCTTTTTTTTTTCTTGAAAAAATATTTGTTATATGGGAGGGCTCTCTGGAAGAAGGAGAAGGAGGGATACTGGGAGAAACTGGCCATGTGAAAAATAAAAGATATCAATAAAAATTCATTTTAAGAATTAAAAAAAAAAAAAAAGGAGAAGTAGTGGAGAACTTTCCCAGTCTGAACAGGCCGAGGCTGGATTTCATCTGGCTCTTAGAAATGATCCCGTCGCTCCCTTTGGAGGTGTTGACATGCAGAAACCAGGCTTGGTGAATCACTCTGGTCTTGTCATTTACTGGGATCTAGCTTATCTCAGACTCTGTAGAGGTGATGTCTTTTGAAGAGCTTGCATAGATAAGAAACCTTTCAAAGGCTTGGAGTTGACCTAGGTCCTTAGGACAAGTGATAGGATTCTGTGAGGTTAAACCCTGCTGAACCTCACCTTTTCCCTTCTGGCAATTAAATTCCTTCTCTTCTTCTTTCCCCGCTCCTGGCTTTGACCTTTGACTTTTTCCCTTCCTCTTTCCCTAAACCAATCATAAAATAGGAATTTAGTGTTGATTATATTTTATGGAATAGAGTTTACTGGTTATTTTAAAAGCAGGAAAGTTAAACATCTGGTGTCTTTTTTGAAAGGTGCAAAGCATCATTATTGAGATGTTTTTGCTTTGGGTGTGCGTGTTAGGAGGCATATCCTTATCCCTGGCTTAGAATAACACTAGCCTGGCCTTGCACCTTGCCTGTCCTTTCTTTATGGTTCTCTTCCTTTCATAGCTGTTACCATTTATCTGGAGAATCACTTGATGTTTTTTTTTTGTTTTTTTTCTTCCCATGAGGATAATTCCTACTGGACCTGTAGCGTGCCAGCCATGGGATTTTTCTTCTTACAGTTCTGTAGCTGCGGTAGTGCCCAAGCTGACTTTTTTGGAAATATTTTAAAAAAATCTTGCATTTAATTAGTGCTATTCTCTAGTGGGTTTTTGTCATTGTTGTTGTTAGTTTGTTTTTAAATTAACTCAGTTTTTCAGAGCCCAGCTTTTGGTTTTGGTTTTGTATTAAAATTTTTTTTTTCTGATTAACAAGTATTTATTTTTTTTCCCCTCCCAAGCTCAGCTTGGGGACACAAAACAATTGCCATGCAGTCCACTTTTGCCAGTCCTGTGTAAGCTTTACTGCCACACCGAAACTCCAAAGGACATCTGCCATGAAATAGACCACTAGCCCCTGAGCCAAAGTGGCATTTTCTGTGCTTTGACCCAGGTCAGGTTTTAAAATGTGGTTCCCTTAGAAGAATGACTTCTTTTCTCCATGCCTTCGCATAAAGCACCAGTGCTGTGATGTCTAAATTTCAGGGTCTTAATGAATTTCTTAAAGCAGGTCCTCAGAAATACCAGCCTCTCCCTGGCAAGGTTTGCTGCCTACTTAAGAATCTTCTGACATAGTCGACTCAGTCTTTACTGAACCAGAAACACCCTCTTTTGGGTGAATAAGCAACTGAAATGTTTTAAGAGTATCTGGAATAAGGTCTAGATCTCTTCTTGTGTCAGGAGCCACGTCTTGCTCTTATCTGAATTTGGAGCCTCGTGCTTCAGGTGGCCAGGAAAAATTGGACCCAGATCTTAGTACTGTGGTCCAGGGTGCTTCTACTCACCTCTCCTGTGTCCTGAGTCTTTGTCAGTGACAAGACAGTGACAAGAGTCTGTCTCCTTAGAATTGCTTTTGCAGCAGTGAAACTTAAAATATTTTTTAAAGCCTAAGTAGAATAGGAAGACGTCTGTAAGAATGAATGGATGTGGGAAGCTTATGATCATTTGGTAACCCAATCTTGTTTTGGCTCATTTCTTCCTTTAAGGAGCTATACCATGTTATTAATGGTGGTGTCAAGGAGACCACGGAACTTCTGAAGCAAAGATTTGACCATATTTTCTATACTGGAAGTCCTGGAGTCGGGAAGATTGTCATGGAAGCTGCTGCCAAGCATTTGACCCCTGTGACTCTGGAGCTTGGAGGGAAGAGTCCATGTTACATTGATAAAGATTGTAATATTGATATTGCTTGCAGGTGAGAGTGCCATTCACACTTATTTTCCATCAAGGGGCCTTTATTCCTCTCTCCAAAGTGTCTACTTTGACCCTAGGGCCACTGATCTTAGAATGTCACTGCTTAGTTTTGAATAGTTCACTACATGAGAGTGTCTAGAGTTCAAAAAAGTTTCCTTTTGCAATGTCTTTTAAATGTTTTCCTGGTTTTTAAAAATTAAATATCATTCAGAAGGAACGACAGATGTTGTGTGGTCCACCCTATACTTGAAAAAAAATCCATTCTATAGGATTCTTGACAAGTGGCCATGGAGTCTCCACGTGAAGCCTTGCATTAAAGGGGATTATCTTCCCTCCTGAAACAGAACATTCAAAAGCTTAAATCTGCTTCTTCTACATTTCTGCCCTTTGTTCTTAGGATTAAGCATATTGTGTCTGATTGCTTACCTGTGGCATCTCTCTGCATCCTTAAGGATGCCTATCGTGTTTCCCTTGGCTCTTCCTTGGGTATGATTTCAAGAACCTTTAGCATCCTGGTTGGCTTCCTCCTCACTCTTCAGTGTACCCAGGTTGTTTTTTTCCTACCCCTTTTATTATTTATTTATTTTTAACATTTTTAAAAAAAATTTTGAGTTCTAAATTCTTTTCTTCTCTTCCATCTCTTCTCCACGCATTGAAAAGGCAAGAAATTTGATATCATTATATATGTGAAATCATGCAAAATGTATTTCCTTATTAGCCATGTTACAAAAAAAAAAAAAGAAAAAAAGGCAAGAAAAACAAAGTGAAAAAATTATGCTTCAATCTCCATCAGTTCTTTCTCTGGAGACGAATGGATATTTTCATCATAAGTCCTTCGGAATTGTCTTGGATCATTGTATTGCTTAGACTAGCTAAGGCATTCACAATTGATCATCATACAATATTGCTGTTACTGGGTACAGCAATCTGTTCTGCTCATTTCACTTCGCATCAATTCATATAGGTCTTCCCTGGTTTTTCGTGTCTTCTAGAACAGTAGTACTCCATCACAATCATATGCTGCAGCCTGTTCAGCCGTTTCACAGTTGATGGGCGCCCCCTCAATTTCCAATTCTTTGCCACCCAAAAGAGTTGCTGTAAATATTTTTGTGTATATTGAACCTTTTCCTTTTTCTTTGATCTCTTTGGGATATAGACCTAGTAGTAGTAATATTGGGTCAGAGGGTGTGCACAGTCTTATAGCTCTTTGGGCATAGTTCCAAATTGCTCTCCAGAATAGTTGGATCAGTTCCCAGCTCCATCAGCAGTGCATTAGTGTCCCAGTTTTTCCACATGCCCTCCAACATCCAACATTTCCCTTTTTTGTCGTATTAGCTACTCTGATAGGTGTGAGGTATTACCTCAGAGTTGATTTAATTTGCATTTTTCTAATCAATAGTGACTTAGAGCATTTTTTCATATGACTATAGATAACTTTGATTTCTTCTTCTGAAAGCTGCCTGTTCATTTCCTTTGACCATTTATCAATTGGGAAATAATGACTTATGTTCTTATAAATTTGACTCAGTTGTCTGCATATTTAAGAAATAAGGCCTTTATCAGAGACACATGCTGTAAAATTTTTTCCCCACATTCCTGCCCTCCTTTTAATCTTGGCTGCATTGTTTTTGTTTCTACAAAACCTTTTTAATTGAATGTAATCAGAATTATCCATTTTAATTCCTGTGATCCTCTCTCTCTTGTTTGGTCATAAATTCTTCCTTTATCCATAGATCTGACAGGTAAATTTTTCCATGCTCCTCTAATTTGCTTATGATATCACCCCTGATGTCTAAATCACACACCCATTTTGATCTCATCTTGATATGTGTGAGGTGTTGGTCTGTACCTGGTTTCTGCCAAACTGTTTTCCAGTTTTTCCAGCAGTTTTTGTCAAATAGTTAGTTCTTATCCCAAAAACTTGGATCTTTGGGTTCATCAAACACTAGATTACTATGGTCATTTTAAAAATTAATTTATTTATTTTTAGTTTTCAGCATTCACTTCCATAAGCTTTTGAGTTTTAAATTTTCTCCTCCTCCTCCTCCCCTCCCCTCCTCCCTCCCCAAGATGGCATGCAATCTGATACAGGCTCTACATATACATTCCTATTAAACATATTTTCACATTAGTCATATTGTAAAGAAGAATTAGAACTAATAGGAACCACAAGAAAGAAGAAACAAAATAGAAGGAAAAAAAAGAGCAAATAGTATGTTTTGATCTTCATTCAAACTCCATAGTTTTTTTTCTGGATGTGGATGGTATTTTCCAGCATGAGTCTTTTAGAGATGTCTTAGATCCTTGCATTGCTGAGAAGAGCTAAGTCCATCAAAGTTAGTCATTGCGCAATGTGGCTGTTACTGTGTACAGCGTTCTCCTGGTTCTGCTCACTTCACTCAGCATCAGTCCATACAAGTCTTTCCAGGTTTTTCTGAAGTCAGCCTGCTCATCATTCCTTACAGCACAATAGTATTCCATTACATTCACATATCACAACTTGTTCAGCCATTTCTCAATTGATGGGCATCCCCTCAATTTCCAATTCTTTGCCACCACAGAAAGAGCTGCTATAAATATTCTGGTATATGTGGGTCCTTTTCCCATTTTTATGATCTCTTTGTAATATAGCCCTTGAAGTGCTATTGCTGGGTCAAAGGGTACTGTGGTCATATATGAATGTGTGTTGTGTACTAATCTATTCCACTGACCACCACTCTATTTCTTAATCAGCACTAGATTGTTTTGATAATTACCAGTTTGTAATACAGTTTATGATCTGATACCACTAAGGCACCTTTTTTTTCTTCCCTTGATATTCTTGACCTTTTGTTCTTCCAGGTGAATTTTGTTATTTCTTCTAGCTCTATGAAATAATTTTTTGGTAGTTTGTTTGGTATGGCACCAAATATGTAAGTTAATTCAGGTAAAATTATCATTTGTATTTTATTGACTCAGCATACTCATGAGCAATTGATATTTCTCCAGTTGTTTAGATCTGACTTTCTTTGTGTGAATAGTGTTTTGTAATTGTGTTCATATAGTTCCTGGATTTGTCTTGGCATATAGAACCCCAGGTATTTTATGTTATCTGTAGTTATCTTAGATGGAATTTTTCTTTCTATCTCTTGCTGCTGAACTTTGTTGGTAATAGATAGAAATGCTGATGACTTATGTGGGTAGGTATTTTATACCCTACAACTTTGCTCAAGTTATTGTTTCGACTAGTTTTTTAGTTAATTCTCTAGGTTTTTCTAAGTATACCATCATATCATCGGCAAAGAGTGATAGTTTTGTTTCCTCATTGCCTGTGTTAATTCCTTCAGTTTCTTTTTCCTTTCTAATTTCTATAGCTAGCATTTCTAGAACAATATTGAATAATAATGGTGATAATCCTTGCTTCAGCTCTGATCATATTGGGAAAGCTTCCAACTCATCCCTATTACAGATAATGCTTGCTGATGATTTTAGATAGATACTACTTATCATTTTAAGGAAAGCTTCATTTGTCCCTATGCTCTCTAGTATTTTTATTAGGAGTGGGTGTTGTATTTTGTCAAGTGCTTTTTCTCCATTTCTTGAGGTAACCATATAATTTCTGTTTTGTTTTGTTTTTGTGTTTATTTTTGTTTTATTTTGCTCTTTGGTGAGTCCATTGGGGTTAACTGACATGCCCAGGGTCATACAGCTAGTAAGTGCCAAGTGTCTGAGGCTGGATTTGAACTAAGATCTTAGAGATCAGCCAATTGAATTCTGAATGTTTGGTTCTTTATGAATTTCCTCTTGAATACAGGGCCTCAAGTAATAAGGACTGAATACATATTTGTCAAATGGCATTTCTGTCCTAACTCTTCTTTTTTTTTTTTTGCTTTTTTTTTTGTTTTGTTTTGTTTTGTTTTTGGTGAGGCAGTTGGGGTTAAATGACTTGCCCAGGGTCACACAGCTAGTAAGTATCCAGTGTCTGAGGCTAGATTTGAAATTGGGTCTTCCTGACTCCAAGGCCAGAGCTCTGTCCACTGCGCAACCTAGCTGTCCCTATTGGTTTTGTTGTTGATACGGTCAGTTATGCTGATAGTTTTTCTAACACTGAACCAGCTGTGTGCATTCTTGGCATAAATCCCACCTGGTCAATGTATAGGATCCTTGTGATGCAGTGCTAATATCCTTGCAAGTATTCTAATTAAAATTTTTGCATCAGTGTTCATTAGGGAAATTGGTCTATACTGTAGTTTTCTTTCTCTGTTTTTTCTCTTCCTGATTTAGATATCAGCACCATATTTGTGTCATAAAGAAGAATTTGGTAGGACTCCTTTGCCTTTTTTTCCAAATAGTTTATATAATATTGGAATTTATTATTCTTTGAATGTTTAGTAGAGTTCACTCATGAATCCATCTGATCTTGGGCTTGTTCAGTTTCTTTTTCTAAGATAGGGTTATTTAAATATTCTGTTTCCTCTTCTGTTGCTCTGGGCATTTTATATTTTTGTAAATATTCATTTCATTTAGATTGTCAGATTTATTGGCATATAATTGGCAAAATAACTTCTAATAAATGCTTTAATTTCATCTTTACTGATGATGCATTCACCTTTTTTCAGTTTTGATATTGGTAATTTGGCTTTCCTCCTTTTTAAAAATCAAATTAACCAGTTTATTTATCTTATTGTTTTTTCTCCCTAAAATCAGCTTCTAGTTTTATTTATTAGTTTAAGTTTTTTAAACTTTCAATTTTATTAATCTTTCCTTTGACTTTCACTATTTACAATTTGGTGTTTAATTGGGGATTTTTTTTTCTAGTTTCTTTAATTGAGTGCCCTTGCCCAGGTTGTAAAATGTGGTCCCTAGAACTGAACACAATACTTGACAGAGATGTGGTTTGATCCTGGCAGAGTACAGCATGGATATTACCTCCTGTGTTTTAGGTGTTATGCCTGTCATTATATGTTATACTCAAGTCTCAGTGCCCTTTTAAGCCTTAATAGCTTAAAACAGATGGCAAGT